ACACCCTAAGTTTGCTTTTCTGTGAGGCATTATGCTTTTCTGTGAAAATGAACTAAAGCAGATCATCTTCTATCTATCTATATAAATAAAAATGTAATGTTTGTTTGTTCCTACCGATTCCTTTGAAATTTTGACACAACGCTGCATTTGAATACGCACATGTTTTTATATAATATAAATGTTGAAATTCAACCCCACTGAAGGGAGATGGTTAGGATTAAGGCTTACCGTGAAGAACTTGGCTTCTTTGATACCAAGTTCTCAAACCAATCAAAAGTATTTTTTGATTGGTTTACTTTATTTAGCTCCTATTGATACTGAAAGACAGATGTTTTTTCTTACATGTTTAAATTCAAATATTTTCTATTGTTATAAGTTTTACACATTGCATCAAAAAAAAAGTTATAATAAAATATTATATACACAGAAATGGCAACAAAAGTACAGATTAACTTAATGCTAAATCCAGACTAATAAAAACTACTTAACTTTCAACATTTGATACTCTGAAAACCATAAACTAAGCACAAGATAAAAATGTTTAGCACACTTTACTGACAATTATTGCAATTTTGTGATTCTACCATAATTACAATAATAAAAAGAAATAAAGTAGAAATACTGCAAATGATCATTTGTTGTACAAAGATAAAGATACAATATAATATTTCACTAGTAGTTTATTTTTTTTTATTATTAAAGAGACCATGAAATTGTATTCTACAGGAATAAATATGATTACTTATAAAAAATGCAATTCCATTTCTTAATAACAAATGGCATTGAAAGTTTCATTATCTTTTTAAAAGTGTTTAAAAAAACCATGAATGTTTTTAATGTAAATCATTCATGGTTACTCTGAAGAATCTGAGTTTTTAAATTTTATTTATTATTATTTTTTCTTTAAATAAATTTCTTGCTCAAATAATAATTCTAGATCTGTTACAATCACTATAACTGATGTTAGTATAATCAGAAATTACTATTTAAAAATTTGCACTCACTTTGCAAATTCTGCTAGTTGTTTAGGATCACTAAGATCTACTCCAGGAATTCCACCTGGAGGTATCTTTTTTCCTGTCATATACTCTGTATAGTCTGGATCTGGTTCAGGTGTTGAAGCATCTTCCACAACTGTTAAATCTCTTTTATCATCTGGAATGCAAGTATAAATTTTTATAATTAAATATTACATTCTAATCAGTATTAGGACAAATTAAACAAAAACTGCTATCAGCAAAATTTAATAATACATACAGATGTTTTCAATTACTTTTTTGTGTCCTTTTCTCTATTTACTATAGAAGCTACAGAATTCTGATCATAGCTTCCATAATAAATAGAGAAGACTAAAAATAGCTGAAATTTGTTTTTATCATTAAGTTTTGCTAGTAGATATCACTTTTTGTTTAATTAATATTATCACCATAAACAATATTTATAACTATGAAATTTCATTTAACTTCACACAATGAAGTTCTTTATTATTGTTATTTTTAAAATATAGTATACACTTAGCCAATCCAAACTAATTATTGTATAGGGGTGTTCAGATTAATGAGTTATATATATATTAAAAAAAAGTCAAAAAAGACTATGAACAAATATACTTATTTAAAAAAATTTTTTTATATTGTATTTGGTCAATATATTAAAATATGTAATACATAAAACACCCATAAAAACTGGAACTACTTGATAATAAAAGATACCTTCCACACTTTTCTAGCACCACTCCTGTATTAAAACAAATGTTTTTGGCCACTTTTAGGAGCCCTCAAAAGATTACAATATTTATAATGAGTGTCTAAACTGATGGATTTAATAGTGTTCCAAAGAGTGTTTAGTGAAATTAAATCCACCAGTTTAAATTTTCACTATGTATTCACAGTAATCTGATGCAGATTCCTGAAAGTTCCAAAAACATCTGTTCTAATAAAGGAATGGTTCTGGAAAAGTATTTAACATGTCTTTTATTAATTTGTAATACTTAGTAATGTTACAATTTTGTCATATTTTTAAAAATAATAAATCATTTCTTTATGTTTTTGATGAACATTTAGCATAAAAACATAAAATTAGTTCAGGGAACCTATTCTGAGCTCTTCCAATAACTCAACGAGAGCAATACACGCAGTGGCGTACCGTGGGTGTCAGCCGCCCGGGGCGGAGGAAAATTTTGCCCCCCCCCTTATTTAGGTATTTCAATTTAAAATACCAAAATTCAGTTTTGTCACAGAACAAGCAATGAAAAATTTGGTGGTAGTGCAGTGACTTATTTAAAATAGTTCTATTGGACATTAGTGGTGTATATGAACGCGAATGAATCGTACAAGCAAAAAAAAAGGTCAACAGGTTTCGCAGGAATTCCTTGGACAAAAAAGTTATTAGTTCACCCTGCGAGCCGATTCCTGGACTGTCATGACGATAGCACTATCGTAGGCGTGATGCAAGTATAGNATGGCGCTACGAGTACAACACCCTAAGTTTGCTTTTCTGTGAGGCATTATGCTTTTCTGTGAAAATGAACTAAAGCAGATCATCTTCTATCTATCTATATAAATAAAAATGTAATGTTTGTTTGTTCCTACCGATTCCTTTGAAATTTTGACACAACGCTGCATTTGAATACGCACATGTTTTTATATAATATAAATGTTGAAATTCAACCCCACTGAAGGGAGATGGTTAGGATTAAGGCTTACCGTGAAGAACTTGGCTTCTTTGATACCAAGTTCTCAAACCAATCAAAAGTATTTTTTGATTGGTTTACTTTATTTAGCTCCTATTGATACTGAAAGACAGATGTTTTTTCTTACATGTTTAAATTCAAATATTTTCTATTGTTATAAGTTTTACACATTGCATCAAAAAAAAAGTTATAATAAAATATTATATACACAGAAATGGCAACAAAAGTACAGATTAACTTAATGCTAAATCCAGACTAATAAAAACTACTTAACTTTCAACATTTGATACTCTGAAAACCATAAACTAAGCACAAGATAAAAATGTTTAGCACACTTTACTGACAATTATTGCAATTTTGTGATTCTACCATAATTACAATAATAAAAAGAAATAAAGTAGAAATACTGCAAATGATCATTTGTTGTACAAAGATAAAGATACAATATAATATTTCACTAGTAGTTTATTTTTTTTTATTGTTAAAGAGACCATGAAATTGTATTCTACAGGAATAAATATGATTACTTATAAAAAATGCAATTCCATTTCTTAATAACAAATGGCATTGAAAGTTTCATTATCTTTTTAAAAGTGTTTAAAAAAACCATGAATGTTTTTAATGTAAATCATTCATGGTTACTCTGAAGAATCTGAGTTTTTAAATTTTATTTATTATTATTTTTTCTTTAAATAAATTTCTTGCTCAAATAATAATTCTAGATCTGTTACAATCACTATAACTGATGTTAGTATAATCAGAAATTACTATTTAAAAATTTGCACTCACTTTGCAAATTCTGCTAGTTGTTTAGGATCACTAAGATCTACTCCAGGAATTCCACCTGGAGGTATCTTTTTTCCTGTCATATACTCTGTATAGTCTGGATCTGGTTCAGGTGTTGAAGCATCTTCCACAACTGTTAAATCTCTTTTATCATCTGGAATGCAAGTATAAATTTTTATAATTAAATATTACATTCTAATCAGTATTAGGACAAATTAAACAAAAACTGCTATCAGCAAAATTTAATAATACATACAGATGTTTTCAATTACTTTTTTGTGTCCTTTTCTCTATTTACTATAGAAGCTACAGAATTCTGATCATAGCTTCCATAATAAATAGAGAAGACTAAAAATAGCTGAAATTTGTTTTTATCATTAAGTTTTGCTAGTAGATATCACTTTTTGTTTAATTAATATTATCACCATAAACAATATTTATAACTATGAAATTTCATTTAACTTCACACAATGAAGTTCTTTATTATTGTTATTTTTAAAATATAGTATACACTTAGCCAATCCAAACTAATTATTGTATAGGGTAATAAAATAGTTTCAGTTATTGCAGTTACATACAAACAATGAAATTCAAAAAGAGCTGTAGTAAAAAATAATTTAAGGGTGCTGAAGGCCTGGTAATTTTTTTTTAAACGAGCCTAAATGCCTACATACTCCCTGCCAAGAAAAAAGAATTCCGTTCGCAAATAGGATCTATAATCAGACACATTTGTGGTCAAAAAGCAATTATTTAGCAATAGAACTATTATTTACACCATTTAGTATTACTGGCAGTCATTCGCCATAGGTTTTCTTTGCTTGTAGTAGTAAAAATTAATGCTTTGCGGTGCTTGTTATCTCGCTTCGAATTGGGGTTATAGTCAACACTCAACAAAGACCTCCCAACGACTTTGAAAGCAATAAGACCTAAGGAAAAAATCTAATACAGGATCCAAGTTAGGACAAAGGGGGGAAATTTAATATGGTACAAAACAATTGAAAACAAATAATTTCAACACGAAAAAAAAAAAAAATAAATAAATAAAAATTGTATTATTATACGTAACTGTTAAACCTGTGTATAAGAATCAATAACTTTGTAATAGAAATAAACGTTTATTCGGCCCTAAATTTTGATTGCAAACAATTAACTTAAATTGTTCCGCGAAAAATATGTTTCCCGGAATAAATCGCTAGTTTTCGTACCACGTGATAGACCAAAAAAAAAATAGTTATTTTTTCGGGGATAAAAATCATGTTTTTAGTGGGAATCCAGGATTACTTTTTAAAATGTTCCTAGAAGGAATTTTAGTGTTTATTAATTCGGAATTGTGTAATTTGTTTTTAGTCTCTCTTTCTTATTTCTGTATATTTTCTATGAAAGATTAGCTAAAGTTTCCTTCGAAAAAATTTTATCACAATTAACTATTGGACAAGTTTAATATTATTTATTTAAAAAAAACCGTCTTCTATAAGGTAGGCCTCGTGACCTATTTCTGGTCTAACTTAGCACTTTGCTAATTAAAACTTAACACGTTTAAACCCGCAACGTTCAGTCTATAGATCGACTTAAGTTTCTACATTTACAAAACGTGACAAGATTTAATTAAAGATTTATACGTATAATCGTTTAAATGGCAATTTAAAAGTAATTTAGAATAATTTTTTAATAATTTATTTTCAATAAGTCTCCGTGTAATAATAAAGCACGAACAGTAATTAAAATTATGTTTAAAAAATAATAATTTATTTTATTATTATTTTTTTTAACCTAATTAACATCGGAGAATGAATAACTCAGTTTAATATAAGCAACAATTATAGGATTTTTAAATATTAAAAAATTTCCTTATAATTTTTATTTTCTTTTTATGTATTGACCAATCGATACGGGTCAACTTGCGATTCTGTATAGTAAAATATTTATTCTCTTGGCTTATTTATATAGGAGAGTGCACCAAATATCGAATAAAAGGCCTATTTAGAGATATTGAACGTTGGAGAAACATTCATTTCTTTCTTAAAAGAAACCACTTATGAGGCGAACAATTAAGAAATTGGTTGTAGTTTCAGATAAATTGTGCTCCTGTCACTTGAGCAAATCTATATTTATTGAACTACAGATAAACAAACAAACGAATCACGAACTCTTAACGTAGTCTTGCATTATTTTTATCGTATAGTCATTTGTTTGTAATTTGTTAGTTAAAACAGGAATATTTTTAGGGACTAGTAGAATACTTAAAGCCATTTGTTTGGTTAGGTAAGATGTATTTACCATAGATAAGGCCTTAGTTATTTATTTTGTTTATAAAACTTCTATTATTTTTCTAAGAGAACCACTCAAGCGAAATTGCAAGAGAGATGCTATAGTTCGATCTGATCGAGATTTATCGATTTGTTTGAGCTCTTTATCTAATCGAATCCTGTATTCTTTATTGTTGTATGAAGATAAACTTAATCTGAATATTTGCAAAGAATAATTAACATCAATGGAAGCTTTCTCGAAAATTCTCATCTGCTAGAGTAACGTTAACCCATTACATTTAAGCTCATTAGAAGGAACGAACATGGATAAAACTTACTTAAACCAACGAAATCGGATGTTTTAAAAATGAAAAAATTAATATTTAATATCGATTTTATGCTTTAAAATAAAATAAATTTTAAGAGGAACGAACATGGAGTTCGTGGGTTTAGGTTATGAACGGTGTCATACGCCTTCATTTATTATAGTGCTAATGAANTTAAGTGGGTTTCGCTATGGGTAGTCAGTCGAGATGCGTCTGGGTTTCATGCTTTCAATAGCTGTTACACTTTAACCAATGACAGTTTAGTTAACATCGTATTTTTGTCATGTGACTGCAACCCACTATTTTCTAAGTGAAGCACGTGGCTTTAGCATTGTCGTGTACCAGCACTAGTGAAATAGTTTTGTTTTAAAATGTCTACGAAAGGACAACGAAGCCAGCGAACTAAAAGTTGCCAGTTTGAGATGCTTGTTAATTTTATGGAAGACAAACCTAAATCAATGTCAGGGAAGTTAGATGTTTACTTTACCATAAAATATCGCCAGAAATTGTGGCAAGAAATAGCTGACTGTCCGAATTCCGATAGAGTCGGCTCACAAAAAGATCCAGAAAGATTGCGAAAAGTAAGTGATAGTCATATATTTATATTCAAAGCTATCATTTTAATTTATACATATGCAAATGAAACCTATTTCAGAAATAATGTTCATGCTGTAACTACTTACTTTAAATTTTAACAAGAAAGTAATTACATTATTCATAAATAGTTAAGGTTATTATTTTTAAGCAATACAACAACATAGTTTATTAACTCTCTCTCAAATTGCTTATGAAGTAAAATCATTCTTACACCAAAAGACACCATGTTGTTTTCACTTTCGTTACATTCCTAATGGCAGATCGAGAGTGATCGATAACAAAATCTTAGTTATCACACCTGGCTATCAGAACTGAAAACAAAACATACGGCTCAGAATAGCACAGTTGATTAAATGCGAATCACATGGGTTCTGATAAAAACTGGTTTTTATCGCATTCGTTAGCTCAACGATACTACTCAGAATAGGTCCCCAGATTAGTGAAAGTCCACTGTGGTAATTTTATCATATACATTTTCATTTATTAATTTTTTAAACTCTAGCATGCCCATTATAGATTCAACAGGTTCACAATGAGATAACTGGGGGTGGTAAAAAATGGGGCCCCAACACATCTGGACAGACCACTCCTGAAAAATTCCTGGCGTGTTTTGGCCCATCCAGATTCAATCCTTGGGTCTCCTTAACAAATTTAATCATAAATGAAAAATGATTTATTTTCATAGAATTAATCAAAACTATTATTAGTAGCAATCTAAAATTTAATAAAACTTAAGATTTGTGAAGATTATGTGCATAAATACAACTGAGGTAATGCCTTATATTTAATTAATTAAAATTAGCAATCTTGTTATTGGTGTAGTAATTTCCTAAGAACAACATTAATAAATTTAATTAACTATTATTACAATTGACATGTTCTTACTCATTTTACAAAAGCGAGCTTATACAGAGTACCCATTGACAGGAAAAATTCTTTAGCAATTTGCCGAGAATCACAATATTTTATTGTAACATAAAAGCTCTGCTCAACTATATTGGCTATAGAAAGTGGCACAATACAAAAAACTACTTGATAATAAAAGATACCTTCCACACTTTTCTAGCACCACTCCTGTATTAAAACAAATGTTTTTGGCCACTTTTAGGAGCCCTCAAAAGATTACAATATTTATAATGAGTGTCTAAACTGATGGATTTAATAGTGTTCCAAAGAGTGTTTAGTGAAATTAAATCCACCAGTTTAAATTTTCACTATGTATTCACAGTAATCTGATGCAGATTCCTGAAAGTTCCAAAAACATCTGTTCTAATAAAGGAATGGTTCTGGAAAAGTATTTAACATGTCTTTTATTAATTTGTAATACTTAGTAATGTTACAATTTTGTCATATTTTTAAAAATAATAAATCATTTCTTTATGTTTTTGATGAACATTTAGCNCTCCAAGTGCATTGTTTTGCAGTGTTCCATATCTGTGCTGTGTTTTTCTCTAATATTTAGTTTTATAAAATAAGTTAAAATATTATACTTTAAAAGATGCATCTGTTACAGTAGAGATTTCAAAACTCAGATAACAAAAGCTTATTCAGATGCACTGGCTGAATTAAAGTTCTTGCATATTATGTCTAGTGCTTGTTGAGTGCAGCAAAATGATGTCATTTTGACATTATCATACATTACAGATTTATGAAAACAGAAGCTACTAAAGAATATTGTATTGTAAAGAATATCAATCTTTATAATACAATATTAAGTTTTTTGTTGTGTTTTTTCATTTATGTTGGTACCATAACAAGTGCTACAAGTTTTTTGCTTGAACAGTTACCAATTTAAACTACTTCAACATTGGCAGGTCTGCAACTTAACAACACTGTAGATGGTATTTATAATAAGATATGGCTAGTTAACAAAGCACTTATGTGAAATGATGTAAGTTACACTTACGTCATTTCACATAATTAGCAATGAAAAGGAATGGTCACTAACACAGCTTTCTAGTAGGTGGGCATTTGAACTGCCAGAA